GCCGCCCCCGGGCGCCCGGCGGGCGAACGGCCATGCCCCCTGGCGCCCGACAACCTGAAAAGGTTGGGGACCACTGATGTAGTTGATAAAAATTTTATCAACTAAACTATTCATGAATTATCTGCTCCTTTGTGAGAAGCATTTTAAGAAAACAATTATTTGGATTAGCAATCCAAATAATTCCATTGTCAGAAATGGATCAATCGTATCCTATCCCACAGATTCATTATGTAGGTTGGTAATTTAAAATGTAAATAAGATAACTTATTACTATTCAAGCTATGTAGACTATATTGACTCTGAATAATCTGGTATCATTTGCTCATATGGCTTGTTGTGGACTTTGGGAGCCATCAGAGTTTTTCATTTTGTTTCTCTGGCACTTGCTAAATTATCTGGTATAAATATGAGCCCTGAGTGAAATTGTTTCAATATCTGCATAAAATCTAGTTTTAATCTAGGAATAGTTTTAAAAATTTATTTTGTGTTAATTTACATGGATTTTCCTTAACATGTTAGCGCATTTTTAACCTAAAAATAAAGAGAATTCCATTTTAAGGCTTACACAGTCTAAACTTAAAATTCCCAACTTCTGTTCCCAAAAATGAATCAGAGATAGAATGAAGGTCCTAGTCTTTCTGTCATTGTGGTGAACCCTGCATAAAGTCTCATTGAAGTCAGTAAGGTTCCACTTGGCATTGTTTTAGCTCCAGTAGATTTACCAGGAAGATCATATTGAATTCTTTTGTGTTGAGCCTCTTGTTTGCTGAGAGTTTCTGATGTTTCTGTCTGTATCAGTTGAATTGACATGATTACAAACTGCAGATGTAAATGGAAGTAATGGAAATAGTCAGAGTAAGGTTTTTCCAGATTTATGGTTAGAATCTTACCTGCAGAAGAGGAGAGAGAGCTTTGCGGTGTCACTGTACATAATGTTACATGACCTGTGGTGGAGTCTGCCTTCATAACATGTGCAGCATCTTAAAAGTAGCCTTTAAAGACTGGTGGGTTTTTCTAAAGGAAGTATTGCCCTTTTTGCTGCTTAATAGTATATTACTTGCGCAAAAAAAACCCAACCCAAACTAATTTGGAAGAATGTTATTTAGATTAAATCAAATCCTCTGAAGTTAGGAAATGAGAGAATTCAGGTTGCTTATACAACCTTACTTGGTCCCCTTGTACTTTGACAGTCTTTAATTAGAAAACCACATACTATATTTTTTCACAGGGTTTCTGCAGTTCTGTTCTTTACTTCTGCTTTGGTGGCAACCTGAGCCCAAGCTTAGAGTAATAAGAATCTTTAAAAATGCAGTGTGCTTAGTATCCAAAATATAGCTCAGATTAAATACCATGAGAAGATGATGTTGGTGTGGACATATAACTATGTCCAGTAATACAGCGTGGGAGACTTGTGGTTGATAAATAGCTTAGTAGGACAACAGTCTTTTTTGCTCTTTCACCCCAAGATATCTCTTGGGTCCCAGCATCCTGTCATCCTTACACAGTGTATTTTCTTTCTGTTCCATTCATGCCGGGTTGCAGCCCTTTGCTGCACCATGGATTTGTTGTGAAGCAATGACACCTCTGCAGCAGATCCATTCGTATGGCTAGTAATACAAGTAGCTGTTTGTATTGATTATTAATCAGAGCTAGTGAAATAGTTCCTTTGTGGTCCAGTCCTGGCAACTGTTTGAGTATCTTTACATGTTTTTTGTTGTGGGTTCTTTTAAGTCCCAAGTGATGTCAAACAGCCGGGGGTGGGGAATACAAGCCCAAATTCCCTTCTCAATAATTTAAGATATTATACATGTTTGTTTTGTCTTGTTATGGAATAACGTAATAACCTCTGAAGCATATGGGTATTGTTTTCCTCTGGGATTTTGATTTGCAGTTGTTGTTTGGACAGTTGAAATCCTTTGATCTACACACATTTGTATGGTTCATTTTTAAGTTTTGTCTTACAAATGTTAAATGTTTCATGTTTTTAAAGGGTATTGTCACATTAAAAGGTATAGGGTTATTAATAGTAATGTAGATTATTGAAGCTTTATTGTGACTCCATTGTTTCTAGTTTCTAGAGAAAGAGGTGTTTCCTGGTCACAACTGATAAGTTCTCGCTATTTTTATAGTGACTGTACTGAAAATAGGAGATTGCTGGGAGGGAGGCAGGCAGGCAAAGAGGGAAGTTATAAATCAGTCCCTTGTTGAAAAATGAATTGCAACAAGCATAAATTAGTCCAGTTATTGAGCAAAATGACATGAAATGCCTATGTAAATCTTTATTCCTAAAAGACTTATCTGAAAGGTGTTCTTTGAGTGGAAAAATTCAGTGAAATATTTCAGCATAGATTTTTTTTTTTAGGTGCACCTATCTAGCTGAATGGAAGCTTGAATGCTCGCCATTTTCCAGTGTTGTTGTTGACTGTCTCTGCCATCCGTGGGTTTTGGTAATACATCCATATTTATCTGAACAGGTGGTCAGTCATTCTTCAGCCGAAAGGACTCCATCCGAACCATCTACACATCTCTGCACAATGAGCTGAAGAAGGTGGTGGCGACGGGTCGCAATGCACTAGGAGGAACAGCTCCTCACTTGGAAGAGCTGCTTTCTCACCTGTCTGAACAGCTGTGTTTTTTTGTTCAGGCGCGGATGGAAATTGCTGACTTCTATGAAAAAATGTTCACCCTCAGCACCCAAAAGTTCATTAACTCTGAGGAACTGGTAAACATTTTGGAATCCATCCTAAAGAAATACAGCTCCAGGTGAGTTCTTGTTTGAGTTGAGGTGTTAATATTGTTTAGCAGCATTCCCAATACTTCAGCTGCTTTCTGGGGCTCTTTGAAGACATTTGGGGTAAATTAAGTGAAATAACAGTATAAAGCACTGAGAGCCAGGACTGGTGGCTGTAAACAAACTTTATGGGACCACGGGAAACTTGGTCACCCCTATGATAAGTGGAAATCCAGCTAACTAAAATCATGCCGGACCATGGATGTTCCTGGACTAGTAGCTCTTTTTATCCCCTTTTATTCTTTGTAAACTGCCTTTGCTACAGATTTTCTTTCTGTGTTCTAGATGACATTGCTTCTCCAGCTGAACTCTATTCAGTTCTAGAGCTGATGTTCAAGCTGGACTATTAATACATAATATCCTGGGGAAAAGGAGGAGAATGATTCAAAAAAGTGAATCTTCCTATACAATTAATAAGACGAGTGTGCCTAACTATTTGCAACATTTTTGAGGTGTTAGTTTCCTCTGTAATCACGATTACATGTAGGTGGAAGGGCAAAACATGCCCCAATCTGAGATAGAAGTGACATTTTTCCAGAATTACAGCTAGGCTACGTCTAGACTACATCCCTTTTTCGGAAAAGGGATGTAAATTAGACGTATTGCAATTGCTAATGAAGCGGGGATTTAAATCTCCCCCTCTTCATTAGCATAAAAATGGCTGCTGCTTTTTTTCGGCACGGAGCTTTGTTGGAGAAAAGCGCCAGTCTAGACGCTGATCTCTCAAAAAATAAAGCCTTTTCCGAAAGATCCCTTATTTCAAGAGGGATAAGGGATCTTTCGGAAAAGGCTTTATTTTTTGAGAGATCAGCGTCTAGACTGGCGCTTTTCTCCAACAAAGCTCCGTGCCGAAAAAAAGCAGCAGCCATTTTTATGCTACTGTTTTGGAAACTTGCTAAGAGTTGTGTAACTCTGGTATCTCTGGTGTTGAAGTCTGTGGTGAAAATTATAAACTTCCTAACACTCTTGTGTTTGTGATAGCCCCCGGGATACAACCTGGACTGTGGGACTGCTGTGTTCCCTTTTTTACTCTCTGAATCAGGATAGCTCTGGTACTGCTATGCTAGTGACAAGCAGCCCCTTCAGGCTTAACTTTCACATAGCTATTAGCACATAAAGGTTACATGCAGGCTCCCACAACCTTTCATGAGCTATACGTAGCCTTTGTAATCTGAGTGGATTCTCTGTGCACTTTCAACAACCTCATTGGTAAAGATAAAACATTAAGTTTAACTGCAGAAAGATTAAGTGAAAAGTAAGCCTATGATTTAGTCAGCGGTATATTTAATAAAAGTCATGGACAGGAAATGTATGATAAACAAAAATTCATGGCCCGTGATCTGTTCAGGACCTTTACTAATAAATGCAATGACTAAATTATTATCTGGGGCTCCTGGGGGCAATCCTACCCACCACTATTTGGGTGGTCCCCATGGCCAGCTGCACTGGCTGTGGCTTGGGTGGTCCCTGCAATGAGCTGTCCGGGGCTGCTCAAGCAGTAGCAGGGAAAAAAACTAGTGGTCCTGTAGCACCTTAGACTAACACAAATTACATAATAGTATCATGTTCTGGTTCAGCTGGCCCCAGAGCCACTTGTGTAGCTGGTCTTAGAGTCAGCTACATTGGCTGCTGCAGAAGTCTAAGGTCACAATGTCAGGAAATAAATGATTTCTGCAACCTCACTAGGCATTGTAAGCAGTTCAGTTCTTAATACATAGACTTTGAAATGGAGATGTTCAGCCTTCCAAACATTCTTGTTGTCCTTAGGGGGAGGAAAAGTGATGTCATTACCTCTCATTGTGTATACTCTCCCTGGTGCTAGAAAGATCCTTGTGGTGTCACAGGTGTTAGCTCTCTCGAGTCTGCTGGGAAAGTAATTCTCCATAATGTGCCATCAATATACAGCTGGCTAGTCCTGATGTAAATTTGTCTCAGGCATTAGTTGCTTCTTTGCCACAGAAAAGCTAGCTGTGGGCATTCCCCACCTCTCATATTTCAATAACTAATAAACTTCACATACAGTGCTAATACATATCATTGAACAGGACGGTAAAGTTAAACAGATCATGACTTTTCAAATGATGCCTAACAAGGCATACTTAATACAAAACATGTATAACAATGGTAAATGTGGGTATAGGTTGTTGTTTTAAGGTACAGTGTTCTACAGGTAGCACCTCTCAAATCTGGGATTCTCTCATCTGGCAACATCTGTGGTCTAGCACAACCACAGATGTTCCTGGATGAGAGAGACCCAGGGCAGGGGAACCAGCAGCTGGGAGCCCAGTGCAACCCTGTGAATCTGCTAGCAGTGGAGCCACAGCAGCTTGGGCAGAAAGTAATTGGGAATGTTGGTGGCCCAGCAAGGAGGCTGGGACCACATCAGCCCAAGAGGGGAAGCATGGCCGGGCCACATCAGCCAGAGTGCTGATGGCTGCATCAGCGTGATTGGGGCTGCCTGCCACCCAGCAGCAGGGCCAGGGCTGTGGTGGCAACAGCCTGGGAGGGGAAGCTGGCTGCTGCAGCCCGGCAGAATCAGTGCAGCCGGGGCCACGTGCTGCCTGGAAGCAGGGCTGGAGCTGCAGCAGCCTGATTGGGCAGCAGGGATGAGGCTGGCACGCAGATAGCCCGATCGGGCTGAAGGAGCCAGCAGCGGGCTGAGGGGCTGGTATACGGGACCTCCCATTGTCCAGCAAATTCCTTCTTCTGGGACCTGTCAGGTGCCGGATAAGAGGTCCAATAGGATTATTGTAAAAATCTTATCTCTTTTATGCAATGCTGTACTTTTTCTCAAGACTCCTCTGGGTTATGAAACTTAATTAAAGCAGATGTTCTTGGCCTATAACTGTCAGTTTATTCTGCAGTTAGCATATTTTCAAGCTTTTAGTTGTGGCTGATGTGTATGTTAGGATTAAAAGTGCTAAACAAGTCTTGCTATGTAGTGACACATGAAGAGATCACTGAAGCATGAAGCAAAGTAGGGGCTGGGAGCTGCACATCATAATAACCTACAAGATTTGGCAGAACTGCATTTACATGAATATTTTAGCTTTCAGTGATAACCTTCATGGGTCAATATCACTGTAATAAGCATGCTCAAATGCTTGATGGTCTAAGTATTAAGGATGTTCAATTGCAGTTATCCAGCTAATGTATTCAATACAATTTGTATCGACTACATGATTAGTTTATAAGGACCACTCTGCAGAACTGGAGTGGGAGTAGCTCCCACAGCTGGCTCCAGCTGGGACTGAGTAGTCCTTGCTTGGGCTGGCTCTGAGAGCAACTCGTGTTGTGGCTCTGCATTTTAAATGTAATAAGAGCCACTGGGCTCTTACTAATTTTAAAATGAACAGGCACAGTGTCCTGGCTTGCGCCAAGTCCAACAGCCCCTATTTGCGGCAGCCAGGGTTGGCCATGGCCAAGAGCTGCTGCCAGACCAGCCTCTGTGCATGGCCAGCCCAGGCTTCTGCAAAGAGGAGCTGCTTGGTGGCAGTAGTCCCTGTATGGGAGAGGGGCCTAGCTCCCTGCTGGGATCCCCATGGACAGGGGCTGTTGCCAAAGCAGCTTCCCAGTCCTCTTCCCCCTCTCCCCCCCGCAGTGGTGGAGGGAAAGGCAGCACCACAGAGACGGTGCTGGGGGGACCTGGCTTTTAAGCTGGCTCCTCCCAACGCAGTCTCCTGTTCTCCCCTGAACCCACTGGGGAAAGCGAGTAGTTGAGGACTCTATTGATTACCTGATCAGCATAAGCTCATCAGGCAGTCAAATGGTCAACTCCTCTCTAACATCCCTACTAAGTATAGCACATTTTGGGATTATCTAGAAGAAATGGCTTCAGAATAAATTTCCTTAATAGATAGCATCAAAAAGAATATTGTTCTAACAGACAGCAGAAGCAGTGAAAATAAACTTATAATTCTGTGGTAGAATATTCTCATTTAATTATTGCACACATTTTCAGTGACAGGTGGTTCCCTACCCTCTGAATAAATTTTAAAAAACCTGTTTGGGAATATTTTAACTTGTTTGGACACTCACTAGTGGATCTGAAAGTGACAATATTATTACAAGCCAATTTCAAAAACCAGCTGGAGAGAGAAACTACAGAGCTTGGTTTCATTTACGAGTTTGACACCTGCAATAGAGGTTTAAACAAAGACCTTACTGGATGGCCTGCTACATTCCACACCCTAATGCAGTGTTTCCCAGTTGGTTCTCCGGAGAGCCCTGGGGTTCCGTGAAGCAAAACTAGGGGTTCTGCGAGGAGCCGGCACTCCCCCGCTCCTCTGAAAGAGAGAGAGAGAGCTGGCTAGCCAGCAGAGGCATGGGCGGCAAGTTGTATGGGCTCGTGGTGCCCATGCTCCACCAATATTTGGAGCTGGAGCGGGCCCCGGCCCTTCCACGTGTCCTTCCACCCCAGTCCCAGAGTGTCTCTCCCCTGACCCCGTCCCTGCCATGCGCAACCTTCACTGAGTTCCCCCTTGCCAGCTGCTGCTGCCCTGCGCAGCGTGCTCAAACTAGTGGGTGGGGAGATGCCAGGGCGTGATGTAACGTCACAGCCCAGGATTTTAAAACTGCTGGGTGCTGCATTGCACTGCGCTCTGGGCGTGATTATTCTAGAAGGGGTGGGTGAGATTCTGTGGCCTGTACTGTGCAGGGGGTCAGACTAGGTGATCATAATGGTCCCTTCTGACCTTAAAGTCTATGAGTCTGAGTCACAGCCCGGGATTTTAAAAACTGCTGGACGCTGCGTTGTGCCATGCAGCTGAGTTGCAGGTTCGGAGTCTGGGGGACGGAGCGCAGACTCCAGCCCCGCAAAGTGGAAGGAAGGGGAAGGGCTGGGAGAGGAAGGGGCTTGTGTGGGAGGGGAGAGGGGGAAGAGAGGGGAAGGCACCAAAAGGACAGGGTAGAGGAGAGACAAATGCCAGGGAGCCAAGTGCAGACAATGAGGAAAAAAGCAGGAGGGGAGGTG